CTCTCTCACGTCGAGTCGATTCTGTTCAGCGCCGCTTCATGTGACTTGTTCCACCGGGCTGCTGTTCTTGTGGATGCCCGTGTCCGTTTCTTCCGTGTCCGTTTCTCCTTCCCCGTCAGATTGTCCCCCGCCCTGTGCCCCGTTTTCTTCCCTTCCGTATTGTTCTGCTCTCGCTTCCTCCTCGCCCCGCTCCATCCCCTCGCTCTCTTGTGCCTCTTCGCTCTCGTTCTCCTCTTCACTCTCTTCTTCTCCCTCGCTCTCTTCTTCCTCATCGCCCTCTTCTTCGCTCTCGCTCTCGTCGTCGCTTTCGAGCAGCTTCCAATGCTCCTTCGCAAGGGTGAGGAATTCTCTCGCGCCATCGTCGTACAGGACCTGTGAGCAATGGTCAAAACGGGCTGATCTTGCGGTGCATTTGTCGGCGGGAACTTAAATGACGGCTATGTTTCGCAAGATAAGGTTGGCAAGAAGCGGGCCAATGGGTTGTTGACAATGAGTCTATTCAATAAAAAAGGGCATGGTGCCCTGTGATGACAGTGCATGTGCTGAAGAGAGACCTCGCTTGGCGTAAAAGTTCGCATGATGAGGCTACAAACAAAGGGATCGCATACAGAAAGCCGACGGAGGACTGGGAAAAGGCGGAAAAACGGGTGGGTCTAGCACGCGTTGCCCAGGCCAGACAAAGCCCCACAAATTTCTGTATGATTTCTGTGGGAACTGAAACTAAGGACCGAGACACGTGGGTCAGACTTAGATGATGGCAGCCAACGAAGCGCAGGCTAGCTCAAGCGAATTAACTTCGTAAAAACGAAGCTTAGGAAAACGAAGCTCAGTAAGGATAAAGCTTAGCAAAACCTAGACTGAAACTCTGATGTCTACTTTCATAATGGGTCATCCGTCAAGCCCCTGACCCAAATACCCCCTCATACCTCGTGGCTCGAATTCCATTTCGTGTAGCGAATGACCCGCCCCTTGTTGTACCTGCAAGCGTGCAGAACCTTCGGTCAGGTGCATGGTCAAGATGAAGATCAACCCATCGGGCGAGGAAGAGCGGATTGACCAGTCAAATGAAGATGCAGCACAGGGTCAAGAAGGACAGAACTTCGTGAAGGTCAAGAAGAGATGCCGGAAGACTGCAAAGCGATCCAATGTCTATTGCCACCTCAAGAAAGGTACATCGCCGTTCTGAGTTTCGGAAATCATCCTCCTGCCCACTTCATAATCCATCGACCTTGAAGAGAAAGAAGACTTGCAAACCTCAACCCAATCCAGAATCTGATGATGGAGACAGGCCGAACGCACAGAAGCTTGCCTTTCGTCAGACTGCCCACCAAGCCTCAGCATTTCAAGAGCACCTCTGATTTCAGAATACAGCGGATTGAACAAAGCTTCGTAGAGAATTTTCATACTGGGCAGAGAGAATGGGAGAGGAAACAATGGCTCACACTCCGTCAATCGGCCACCAGATGCCCACCCGCCGGCTGACCAGCTCGCTGTCCAGCGAAACACCCCCAACAGCAGCCATATCCATGTTCACTGTCTTCTGTGGCGATGGGACAGCCCTTTTGCTCCCCTTGGTCGCTGGCCTGGCGTGGGCAAGAGCCCCGTCCTTCTTCCCCTTGAGATACTTGCGGTAGCACGTGCTGCATGTGGTCTTTGGTCCTTTCGGCCCGCCATACCACATGCACGTATCCCGCGTACCGCACACGTGGCAAGGGCCCCCTCCCTGCAGATCGTGGCACTTGCGGCACTGCGTCTTGGGCCCCCCAGGGCCCCGGTGCCAGCTGCTCGACTCTGTTGCTCCACAGTCAATGCACAGCCCGGGCTCTCGTGTAGCCAAGCTGTGCCCCGCGCCCTTCTTTTTTGGGGAGGTCTCCAAGGAATTTGGAGAAGCCCCCTTCTGTTTCTGCTTCTCACCCCTGGAGTCCATGGCGGTTTTTGCCAAGTCTGCGACCTTCTTTCCATCATTCTCCGGTGCTGAGTCACCCTCCTTCTCGTTCCCCTTCGCTGTGTGCGTCTTCCCGGTGAGCACATGCCCTTGTCTCCTCCTGATATTGTACTCCCGAGCGTAACAGGGATCGCACTTGCGCACCTCCGCCGACACTCCGTACCACCTCCCGGAGCCCGTCGCCCCACACAGGTGACACCGCTTTCCATTTTTGCCAGTGGCCCCCTCCGCGGCCTTCCCTCCATCCTTATCCTTCTGACGCGCCGCTGCTGCGGGACTACAAAGCACAGCCGTTGATTGTGCACGTAGAGTTCGATTCCGTGACGTTCCGTTACTGAAGGAACTAATAGCGGAAGGTAGAACGGAAACTCACCTTAGTTGGTGCGAGCACGTTTCGTGCGGTCACGCATTTCTTTTCGCCGTGCTAACCCTGCCACGGTTCGCTCATGAAGAGATTGCCAGTACTCGTCTAAGAGA